AAGTTACACAAAAAAACGAGAACTATTAAATAGTTAATTTGACCTAATATTGATTTATTTTTTTCAATTTTTGATGCTATCTTCAAATTTATATTTCATTCAAACATAAAAATATTATCGTTTTCTCAAAACAACATAAAATCGTATTACATCGATAAAGACAAAGAATAAAAACTAAACATTATCGCTTTTAAAAAAATATTTTCCAAATGGATTGTTTTCAAACGATGGACTATCAACTAGGTCCTTTTAACTATAGATCTTCAAATGTATCTTCAAAAATATGTCATTAATTAAAATAACAATATTATATATTTTAATTGTATAAAAATATGTGTCTTTATAAACTCAATAAAATGATAGATAATAAAGTGAAATAGTGAATCTAGAGTAGGTTAATTTATTACGGGTATTTACTAGTTTTAATCATTTGATTTGATATTAACATAAATACATCTGACCTAACATTTAGAAATACTATTAAAGTTTTATTTCAAGAAACAGACAATTTTAGATTTACTCTTGTTTACGGAAATGTTATTCGTACGGATCTAATCATTCGGAATTGTTAAATGGAATTTAAACTTAGACTTATTAACCAAAGTTATGATCTGAATTAAACGCTCAGATATACCAACTAGATTTACTATCAAGTTCATATTTCTAATACTACATAAATCAACTCTACTAGAATCCAAAATGTAGCTTATACTTTGAAGAGAAAAATAATAAGATTTTATGTAAAAATCTTATTAGTTTTATCCAAGAGAAAAAAAGCTTTCAACAAATCGAAAAATAGTTGAAGTGAAGTCAAAATTGTCATCAAAGCAGATTAGATTGTTATTTAGCTGAATGAAACTTAATACAAGATAAATGGCAAGTCGATTTTAAACGTGCAAAACCTTACCAGCAAGTTTGGTTCATCAATTCTCATTTTGGTATGTGAACATGTTTGACATGTTAGACAAAGTACTAAAGTACTATTTTATTTGTATCATACTTCAATTATTGTTCCCGTGTATACAAAATGATAGGATGTGTTAACAAACGTCTACATCATTCTCAAAGGCTAAAATAAAGAGTACAAATATGCACTGATCAGCAAATCAAATTAAGACACAAGTTATAGTTGAATAGCAGTATTAAATGCATTGGTGGCTATAAAAAGCCATCTTTCTCATATGTTGCAACTCAACCATTTTAAAAGGAATTTTAATTGATAGTTTTTTAGGTAAAATCGGCTTCAACCATCTGTAGAACTATCTCAGTTCTTTAGATCTGAAAGTGTATCTTCTTCTACTCCTTTAAACTTTAGCAAAAATTTTATAAGCCAGATTGTTTAAGATCATGTATTACCTCCCTAGCTTTCGCAGCTCTGTATTTCTTTGTTTTTAATAAACATAAAGAATTAAAAAGTGAAAATTTGTTATGCTTGTATTCAACTTCCCTTTCTACAAACACTCTCTCTGTTAGTCATTACCATTCGAGGACCAATAATATTCAATTTGTTATGGTCATAGTCTCTTTCCCTTCATGTTTGACTATTAAGTAAAAGTTAAATAAGGGGCATTCGGGAGTGAGGAGCATATGAGAGAGAAGAGAGGGAGACAATGATAATTCATATAAGAGTTGTCATTCACCTACCAAATTACTCAAAACACTCGTTCCATATAAATTAAATAAATTATATGACTTTTTTTATAATAAGTGGCTTACATAGGATGTCATGGATCTCACAAATTTAGGGCTATCATTTGATTACACCTATATGTGTGTGTGTGTGTGTATACATACATACATACATACATACATACGTACGTACGTACAGAGAAAGGGGGAGCCTACAACCTTATCTATGACCTCTCTCCCTTCCGCCCCATTCATCGAGGATTAACACACCACGGAGCACATTCTGACAATGTGACCAACATCAACCCTTCCCCCTCGTCCCTGCAATGTGACCGACACTACCACTCATCCCCTCCGTAATTGTGTCGAAATTGAAGTACCCATACCTGACGTCGACCAGAGCTCCAATCTTAGATCTTGCTTGAGGAAGATGGTGCTTGATTTGTAGGACATCCCTTCCACTACGGTATTTGAGATATAGGTTGGGATTGGAGTTTGTTAATGGATCATGGTCGTCGCATCAAGCAGAACTGCACCTCTTTCCCTTCTTCTTGATCACTTGGATATACATAACTAGATATAATGATTAAGTTTTAATAGAACTTCGATTTCATATTGTTTTCTCCAATTTTTTATCCTTAATCGACTTCACTTCCTCTATTCACTAGCAATTAACCCACCAACTACCATAGATTCAAGACTTAAAACCAATTCAAAAGGAGGATGAGAGATTCTAAACAACTCGATTGTTTGTTAAATTTGATGTACATAAATTAAAATAGAAGAAGGGTGGCTCATTTCGTAGTACAAACTTGTTTGTGACTTGACATGAACATTTTCTTAACGATGAAACAAGAATACATTGCTCAGTTGTATCTCAATTGCATTTTCAAACAAGAATATAGGAGGATGATATAATTATTTTAAAGAAGTTTCATCTACTTTCATTTGGTTTGATCTTATTAATTGTATGGGTGAAGTATACGTGACAAAGATGAAGGGGGCTCAAATTAGAAACCGTGAGAGGTGAGCTTTTTTTTAAACATACCATGTCACATTATTATCAGAGAAAAAAATAACTTAAAAGGTTAAAATAGAGAAAATGACAAAAATGCCCATTTTGTCGTTGATTTAAGAGAGGCTAGTAGAGATCCCATGGTCGAAGGACAATTAATAATACCGGACCAAATCCGTAAGTAAAGTAGTTTAGAAACTCTAGTTGTAAGTTTCACCAAAACTCAAGGACCAAACATGTAATTAAAAAGCATAATAGCCACTTAACAAACTTAAAGGTTGATAAAGACACATATGCCATTAATTTAGACTTTGACTAGACGCCTCACAAACCCTCAATAGTTCAAAAGCGACAAGGGTAGTTGTGGACATACAGGAACCCCATATCCAACCCTACTTCCCTTCATCACTACATTTTTGGACATGTTGGTCAAACATTGATGGTCAAAATATCATTGAAAAGTTTAAAAAAAAAAAAAAACCTAATAATTTTTTTTATTTTAAATGATTAAGTTTTTGAATTATTTTTTTAATAAAAAAATTATTAAATTTTCATATTTTGAATGATTAAGATTTTGAATTGTTTTAAAGAAAATAAACCATCGAACTTTTATTAGTATGTTAATTTAATCTTTTTTGGGTTAAAAGAATGTAAGTAATCAACTTGTAAAACAGTTTATTTATTAAAAGAATGTTCAATGACTTAAGTAATCAAAATGAGAAAGTTTAATAATGTTTATCATTCAAAAAAATTGTTCAGGGTCTTAATTAATCAAAATGAGAAAGTTTAATGGTGTTTATCATTCAAAAAAATTGTTCAAGAACTTAATCATTCAAAATGATAAAGTTTAATGGTTTTTTATTAAAAAAATAGTTGAAGACTTAGAGACCGTTTACCTAAATGCTTACCCGGTAAGTGTTTATCAATAGAAGTCAACATTGTAATTTATTTTGATGCGTAAGGTTTTAGTACATCAAAACATATTGAATGCAACAATTTACTTGGTAAGCGTTTACCTAGGTAAGAGTCGTCATCCTCACTTACCGGGTAAGACTCTCCATCCTTCTCATCGCTCTTACCCGGTAAGATTCTTGGTCATTCTCATGTTCATCCAATGAGGAAATTTATGTGTTAAACATTTACCAAATAAGTGTTTAGTAAACGGCCCCTTAAGATATCTTTCAAAACAGGATAGTTCGTTGTGTTTTTATATGCGCTTCCTATATGTTAAATCCATGTTCCGAAAATTTAAAAGAGAAGTTTTAGAAGAATATAGTACGAAGGCTTATAGAACAAGAAGATGCATTTAGAATCGATCACCCTCTAAAAATTGCCAACAATATTGGTACTTCAATTCTACATGGAATTTTATAAATCTTCTTGACTAATTCACAAAACATTCAACACCGTTAATAACGCAAAATTTAATTAAACGATTTGTAGGCGGAAAGCGCACACATTTTTTATAGAAATTAATTTGAAAACAAGTTCCATTTTCTATCGTTAAAGTAAACTGATTACTTGAGCGATGAAGTTTTGTCGATCATTTATCGACATACAGCTAGTAGCGGAACAAAGAATGATGCAAAGTTTTTCACTACAACAAAATCGGGTTTATAGGACACTCCCAATTTCTAAGCGTCCTACTAGACTTCTTTATAAGACTTAGTTTATAGAACCAAAAAAATAAAGCTACCTAATAGACTTCTTTATAAGACTTAGTTTATAGAACCAAAAAAATAAATCGTCTTATCTAAAGGCGTTGTAATAAGTTTATATGACGTTTTTTTGATGTCACAATAAGTTTTTTAGGACACTTTTAATATAAAGCCTCTCATTAGCAACTTTATAGGACACTATTTGAAAAACCGTCATATAAAAACAAATGTCCTATAAAAATTGAGTTTATATGACATTTTCTCAAAAGTGTCCTATAAAGTTACTAATGCGACACTTTGTATTAAAAATGTCTTAAAAAACTTGTTAAGATGCCCAAAAGTGTCATGTAAACTTATTACAACACCTTTAGATAAGACACTTTATATTTTGATCATATAAATTAAGTCTTATAAAGCGGTCTATTGTGACGCTTAGAGATTGGGGGGTATCCTATAAACCGAATTTTGTTGTAGTAGTGACATCTTAAATGATGAAGAAGTTTTAGAGAGGAATGGAGGGAGAGATGAAATTGACCAAAGGGTAATGGGAAGAGTCTAGGGTTAGGAGAGTGGTAAGCAGCAAAACACAGGAATTGAGGTTAAATGAATGGAAAAGTACAAGAGATAATATGCAGTTGGGTTGGGCATGTCACAACCCCACAAACAAACACACTCTTACAGACCCTTTTGGAAAGCCTCTTTGTTGTACATCCATTACTAGAAAAACCTCTCTTTCAATTCTCTCTTTCTAATCATATTAATTAACTCTTGCATCTTGTTTCATTACATTGTTCTCAAAGCTTCTTGAAAATGGGGAGAGGAAAGATAGAGATCAAGAGGATAGAGAACACTAGCAACAGGCAAGTCACCTACTCCAAGAGAAAGAATGGTATCATCAAGAAAGCTAAGGAAATCACTGTTCTTTGTGATGCTAATGTGTCTCTTGTCATCTATGGTTCTTCTGGCAAGATGTATGAGTACTGTAGCCCCAAAACCAAGTATGTACACTTCTTGACATGAATTTTGCTTGTTTTTGATCTTCTGTTTTTAGGGTTTTCTTTCTTTTGATGTTTTTTTTAGTGTAACTTCCTTTATAGATTGGTAGTAATATCTTTTCTCTCTTCATCTTTGTGTTACATGATTCTAATTGGAAGCTTGATTGACATGCTGGATCGATATCAAAGGCTTTCTGGAAATAAGTTGTGGGATGCCAAACATGAGGTAGGTTTGAGGTTTCTCTCTCTATACCCTTTTGTCCCTTGTTTTTCCTTGAAAGATCTGGTTATTTGGGGTTCTTAAGTGGGTTTTTGACATGGGTTCTTTCTATGCTAAAAAGATGTCAAGTGAGTTGAAACAAGTATTCTAAGACCAGATCTAGATATAGGTTAGGATCCAGCACTTTCTCTCACTAAGAGTATATGAGATGTTACATCCATGAACAGATCTGGAAGTAACATCTGGTTTTCTCTCTCTTCCCTTTACTTGCAAAAAACCTAAGTAATCCAGTGCTTTATGCTTTGGATTGAAATATATGGGAAGTGAAACATGTTATCCACCTTTGATGTGCTTGTCTTTATTTTACATGGGTGATCAGTAGATTTCTTGAATGATGATTGATTATGTTTTCTATTGATTGTGTTGGACAACCCTCCACCACCCAAGAATTTGCAGAATGAAATTGATAGAATCAAGAAAGAGAATGAAAGCATGCAAATTGAGCTTAGGTTCTTTCTCTATCCTCTCTCTCTCTCTCTATATATATATATATATGTATATATGTATATATATATATATATATATATCTTGTTCTGTTGGTGACATATCTGACCATCTATTTTTCTTCAGGCACTTGAAAGGAGAAGACATAACATCTTTGAACTATGAAGAACTAATTGCCTACGAAGATGCACTTGAAAATGGACTCACCAATATTCGTGACAAAAAGGCAAGCTTGCTGGGATCCTTTTCTTGAAACAAACATTCGACATATACTTATATACAAGAGTTTGTGTGTGTGTATTTATATACATATAGAGAGAAGGGGGGAGAAGGAGGGAGTTTCAAGGAAAACTCTAAAAAAGGAAAAACCGAGGGAACACTCTGGTAACACACCACTGGACAGTATGTACATGTGCATACAACTGTTTTATACACGTGCGCATACTGGATATATTGTTTTCAAATTACTTGTATGCATCTGTTCATTTCTTTACGGTTTTCCCGTGAAGTTGATATATATATATATAGGGGTTTATATATATATATATATATTTGAAGTTCTGATGAATGTTTTGCAATCTTGAACAGGATGAAATCCCCAAAATGATGAGGAAACATGTATGTTTTGGTGCTCTCCTTCTCTTTGTAGAGTATCTTTTTTAAAATGGCAACTTAGTTTTGAGAGTATGCTGAATTTTTGTGTATGTGTGTGCATCAGGAACAAGTTCTGGAGGAGGAGAATAAGCACCTTATGTATTTGGTGGTAAGCTCGTTAATTATCGATCCAACTACTCTATCATCTTGCCTATATATGTGGTTTCCATATTTTTTTTTTTTTTTGTTATTTTGAAGCTTAAATGTTACACACACACACATAAAGTCGAACACCAATAACACTACTACTGAATGAAAGACTTTTACCTGCGGACTTTTCCCTGGGAAATCTATTGCTAAAGCTAAAGGTAAAGGGTGATTCGTCAGAAAACCGTCACAAAAGTTGGTGGGTAATTCAAATCAGTGACAGATTACCTAAGAATTCTCTGGGTGATCCATTGGTATTTTCTCAAAAAGACATCGGGTTCAAACTATCGTTATTCTCTGGGTGATCTGTGGTAGTTACCAACAGAAATTCCCGTAGGTGATTTTTATAGGTAAAAGTCATTTGTTTTGTAATGTGAATAACACAATGATATTACACATGCCCTCTACAAGCATTGCTACATCCCCTACAACTTCATAGGATGCCAACAATGTTATGTTTCTTAATAGATCGTTTTATAGGTCTTAAATTTATAAAACCAAACAATCAAGTGTCCTGTCAGCACACAACTTTTTATAGGATACTTGTTTCTATAGAACATTATTTGAAAACATATTCAAAGATAGTTAATACAACGCTTTATTTTAAAAATGTTCTGCCTAAAAGTTTCCTATAAACTTATTACAAAATTCTTACATATGATGCTTTATCGTTTGATCTTATAAACGTAAATCCTATAAAACAGTCTATTAGCACACTTACACTGACACATCTTTGGCGTCTTATAAACCCAATTTTGTTGTAGTGATCGAAGGATAAAGTTAAGTTTATTGAAGCATCTTGGCTAATTTATTTGACGATAACACAAGTGTTGTACTCAATTTGGAAACCTACATGTTAAAGTCAAATCAATATGCACGAGCAAGTCATCTGTATTTAGATGATGAGTGTATAAACTTATATTGTGTATGATCATGTGTATACAGCAACAAAGTGAAATGGCAGCCATGGGAGATTACCAAGCTCATGAACCATTCTCATTTCGTGTCCAACCGATGCAGCCAAACTTGCATGAGAGGATGTAATCACATTTTCTTGTATACAAGTTCTCAACTTCATGAAGCTTGTAATTCAAGTTGCTATAAGGTTTGTTAATGCATTAAGCATGGTGTTTTAGTAGGATGTATCAATAATGCTTAATTTGCTCATGGGACTGCTATATATGTTGCTTGTAACTTTGTGTTTTAAGATTATGATGGATGTTGCTTATTTGAATTGCTTCAAACTCAGTAATTGATTAATCGGAAGATGGTTATTTGCACAAATAAGGAAGATGGTCGTTGATTGTAGCTTCAACACTCGATATTAACTGCTAATCTATGTGAAAAACATATGAATACTTGATATAATGAGAGAACAGAGAAAGTGAATATGAATTAAATTTAATTTAAAATGAATAAAAATTTGATGTGTCTTAACTTTATTGAATTGGGATAAGAATGAAGCATGTGATTATTAGAAGTGATTTTAATCGATTGTATGTTGTTGAAAGGACTCAAAATTGGTGAATTTTGCTGATGAAATTCATAGGGATTTTTATATGGTATTTAATTTATAGTAGTGCGTGCAAGTTCATCACCATTATAGGACTTTTATACAGGGAAATTAATTAAAATAGTCATTTTTCTTACGGTAGACTTCATCTCCTAATCATTTCACTTCATAATAACGAAAATAGTCATAGGTCCGTAATCGACAAGTCCGCAATTCACGGAGGTGTGAAAGTGTAAAAAATAAGTTTTTGAAACCAGGTCCGTAATTACAGGGACCAAATATGTAATTAGTTATAAGTCGCAAAAATATATCATGGATGTGTTTTTCCAAATCTACATATTTGGTCCCCATGATTATAGATCTGGATCAAAAACTTTCTTTTTTTCTTACACTTTGACTCCTCCGTAAATTGCAGACCTGTCAATTGCGGACCTATAACTATTTTTGTTATTTTGGAAGAGAAAATGGCTAAGAGGTGAAACAATGCAGTTAAAATGATTCTTTTAATTAATTTCCTGTTATTCTATATCCATCATGACTAGTTACTTCTAGGAATACATATTTACAGGTATTGATTAATTTCTTTGTCGATATTTCTGTACATATTCTACTACAATCTTCTAATAACTTTTCTAGACATTTATTAATAGAGACTTAAGCTTAGTTAATTAACGTGAGTGCTCCAATATCAAGTTTATTTTCCAAAACCCCTCTTTTTAAACTTGTTTCGACAACTCTACTATCATTCTTAGTCTTACAATATCTTTCTTCTTGAGTGTCTTGTTGAAAATGGTTGCAACTTGGTCTTCTAATCTTGTATATTTCGCTGGAGCGTCCCATATCAGACAGGCTCGAACCATTTCTTATTAATATACGTTGGAATCTCCACTCTTTACTTAAATGATTTTTATGAATAGCAATCTAATAGGTTCAATACATTTTCACTTGGTATAAGAATCAAGATCTACCACTTTAAGGACTCGAGACCTTTGGGCAATCTTGTCTTGTCTTAATTGGAGGGGGGCGTGTTAGAGTCCCATATCAGTCAAACTCGAACAATCAGACTCGAACCATTTTTCTTTAATATATGTTGGAATCTTCATTCTCTCCTCAAATGTTCTTTTGAAGAGTAATCTAATGCAGAGTTGTGCCAGATGGTGTACCAATGTAAGATTCAGAACAGACCCTAAATCTGAACTTTTTTTAGCCTAATTTTTTATTTTAGCACGTACCCAGTTATATATATGTGTATATATATATATATATATATTGATTTATAGCTCATGTATTTATATTTCATTTGACAATTATAATATTTAGTAATTTAGTCCAATGTCCTAATCCTCTCTCTTCTATTGGATTTGTTGTTCTGTTTGCTTACCGATTACGACTGCAAACTGCAGTTCCTTCTTCTTAGTTATCTAATTTAAAGATTGAACTCTCCCAGCGTTGATCTTTGTCTTGATGGCTAATATTATAATTGAAACACCAAACACAACCCTATGTAATAATCTTCCACTTTCTTGTTCTCGATGTCTCACTTTCTTGTTCTGCAAGACCTTCAATTTCATTAACTTATTTCACCATGATGCGCAACTTCATTTTTCAAAGCATTATAGCCATTTGACAACACACATCAAAGTCAAGAGTTTAGAGATAATTTGACCATATAATCGAGTTAGGGTTCCTTGACAACTTAAGGTATTTGGTAGCTCTTATATGCTAATCTTTCAAATTAATGACTTATTACAAAAATTTGATTATGAAGAATCGATTGGAGATTTTGTTTCAAAGAATGTTAGAAAAATGATTCTATAGAAGTGAATTTTGTTGTTAGCTTCTTCTATTTTTCCCTGGCGTAGCTGAGCCATTTTGGACTTGAACCAACGACATCGTCTGTGAAGTAAATTATTACTATTCAAGGTTTAATTGAAAATAAATCTAATTATTAATTGTGTCATAAAAGCCCTTATGCCCATGTTCTGATCGCCCTCCATAGGGATATGTGCATCGAAAATGAAACTATCTTTGAAGTCTTCATCAAAGCCACCATTGAAGAAGCAAAAAATAGAGCATGAGAGAAAAGGTAAAACCCATGCCCCATCTCTCTTTGTCTCTATAAGGAACCAAATTTTCCAACCACTCATCACCATAAGTTCTTCTCTTTGGAGGCCTTCTCTTTTAAAACCTAGTACCTAAAGTAGAGCCCTATGTTAGTAATCTGAAAACCTACGAGTTTTTGTGAATGAGCCCATTTTAAACTCACCTCGTATATTAGATGAAGCCTTTGCAGCCACTAATGTCATTCTAGAAAACTAACCTAATGAACCCTCTGTTGAGACCTCTCATAACCTACCCATTATAACCATTCTAACCCATATAACCATACTAACAACCACCTAAGACCAAATCATACATGTTACCACCCCTACTTCTGTTTTGGATACTAATATTTTGTAAGAAACAATCCTAAAGATGGTTTGGCTGGACAATCACAACCTTTGGAGCATGAGGCTTTGTAGTGACCATAGAGAGAGAAGCCACTAAAGACAATGATCCTGAAAGCAACATGGGAAATGGGTTGATAGACGAAAGTGATAATGATGATGAATATGAAGAAAGTTTAGAAGAAAGGGACGATTTTGATAATGGGGACGTTGTAGAAAGTGTTGATATTGCTGCAATGACTGAAATATATAGTGAAGCCACTAAAGTTGTGAAGGAAGGAACACCAAAGAGAAAGGGAACTAGTAACGAAAAGCTCAAACTCCACGACTACTTGGAAAAAAGAAAAAAAGGTCTAACATCCCATTTGGTACTCCTAGTTATAAGGAAGCATACAACATGGTTGGCCTCACTGTAGCAAAAGAAGCGCTTCATGACAATGGGTTTAGCGAGTAATGTTTGAGGATATATCCAGTGTTAAGGGAGATGATCAAGAAGTTAGGATGGGAGATATTTAGTATTGTACCATCAGCGTATGTTGATTTATATGGGAATTGGTTTCATTATATACTTGTACCCATGCCTAGTAGTTGTATTTTGAACTAGTAATTTAAGTCAAAGTTCTATGTAAGGGATCAATTATGTACAAAGGAAACTTGAGCTTAGGACTAAAAATGTTAAGAAAATTTCATGTAAGGACCAATGTTGGATTAGGCTATAGATGAGGGGTAAATATTAGATAAATAAAAACTTTATATCTTATTTTGCCAACTATTTAAACCCCTAAATTCAGCCAAAAACCTCATTTGCATCTTATCTCTCTCACTAGAAATGGAAGTTCTCTATTCACCTAAACCCTAAGGGGGTGTTTGGTTCACAAAATGGAATTTGTTGAAATTGGAATCCATCAAAGGAATTTGAATTTGATTAAATTGGAATGGAATTTGACCACATGTTTGGTTGGTGGGAATTGAAATGAAATCTCTCAATAGAATTGGAACAATTGCCTTTGTTTGGACTATCTCACCCATTGCCCCGCCCATACCCTACCAACCACCATGTCACTATTGTCGTTGTTACATCTATCACCCATATCCAAACCCTGCCCCACCATCCCAACCTCGGCCCCTACTCTTGTCCTACCATGCTTCATAGGTGGGGTTTGTTGGGTGAAGACAGGGTAGGGCGAGGTAGTGGGGTAGTGGATGGTAATTATGACGACTATAATGGTAGGATGTTGGTTAGTAGTGGGTTGGAGTAGGGTTAAGTGGGGTGGGGTGGGGGCAGGGCGGGACGGTAGGGTGGATAGAAGTAGGTGGCGGGGTGGTAGCTGTGACGATGATAGTGGTGGGATAGTGGTCAGGTGGCTGGGGCGTGGGAGTGGGTGGGTATGAAGACAAGAATAGTGGCATAGTGTTTAGTGGTGACTGGGTTAGGGTGGGGTACGGGTGAGTGGCGGTTGTAAAGTTGACAATGGTGATGTACGGGTTAGGGGTTAGGTTAGGGGCAGGGTAGGCAGCAGGGTGGGGCTGTGGGGATGAGTGGCAGTTGTGACAATGATAGTGGTGGAATGGTGGTCAGGTGGCTAGGAGTGAATGGATGACGGCGACAGTCGTGGCATGGTGGTCAGTGGTGGGTTAGGGTAGGAATGAGGTGGGGGTGGGTGGCAGTTGTGACAACAACAATAATGGTGTGGTGATTCAGGTTAGGTTAGGGGCATAACAGTAACACTAGTAGCATGGTCGTAGTAGGAATTTGTAGTGAGTGATCGGGGGTGGGTGGGTGTGATGATGACAGTAGTGACATGGTGGTTAGTGGTGGGTGGGGGTGGGAGACGGCGACAGTAGTGGTGTGATGATGGTGGGGGGTTAGGGGTGGGACATGACGAACAATAGTAGCATGGTCGTGGTGGGTGTTGATGGAATTAAATTCCTTCCATTATGCCAAGGAATGATGAATTCATTAATTTATGGAATTCAATGGAATTTGAAGGATTCCATCCATTTCAAGAAATGAACTAAATAAATGAATTGGAATTTGGTCACTCATTCCAATTTCATCAAATTCCTTAAAAATCATGCAAACC